GTATTCAGTTTTCAGAATCCTCAATTAATCAGGGACAAATCCCTCCACTTCATAGATGTTAAACGTTGTGGGTTCAAGAATAAGAACGCTGCCCTTATTACCAACTTATTACCAAGCCTCAAGCAGGAACAAGAGGATATATTCTTGATTTATTGAGCTGGTAAATTGCCATAGATTATAGATACTGCCATTCAGTTCTTCCTGCCTGACCCTCTCTCTCATTCTCTGTTTTCTTGATCCAACACTGCAGGGGTGCTTCATCACTATTGTAATAGTGTATGCACAAAATCCGCTTTGACCATTTGTCTTATTTTGAAAGTTCAAGTCAAAGCTCAAGACACATATTCCTTATAAAAAAAAAACTAGCATGTACTCAGTTTGCAACATGAGGTATTCTAATGACACTTATAGTAACTACTTACAGAAAATATGTTTAGCCGTTTTGTGCAGCAGAAACTTTGAAATAACACATTTTAAAATTCTGTCATTGAAACAGTATGTATGTGTGGCCTATGTGTGGCCTATGTGTGGCCGAAGCAGAGCAGAATAATGTCATTTGTTCTCTCAGTGCTTCTCTTTGCTGGGATTACCTTTCCTCTGTAGGGACAGAGGTTACTGTGATGTTGTTGCCCATGCTCTCATGAGTAAAGCTGATGCATGCAGGGATGTGACCGTGCATGTTTTTGCTCAGTTCGGGTGATATCTCTTGAGATTGCAAACTGTGGAACTGTAAGGATGTTTATATGAGCAAGGCAAGCCGAGAACAAAAAATGTGTACAGACTGTGTGCAGATTTACTGCTTCTTCTTCTTTGCCTTCTTTTTCTTCTCCTTCTCACTTTAGGCGTCATTGAAGTCGATCATCTCCCTCTATCTCACTCTATCCCCATCATCCTCTTCTGTCACACCAGCCTGCTGTTGTCCTCCTTCAGTACATCCAAGAATCTTTTACGCAACTCCATATCAACATTCTTTGTCCCTCCAAACGTGTCCAAACCATCTCAGCCTTTTTTCCAAACTGCTCAACCTGATCAGTCCTATGATACTGTCACGGCGGGGTACGCCAGTGTTGTGAACAGGGCCCAAAAGCAGATGCGGAGAGAGGAGTTGCAGGAGCCTTTATTTTGGCTGAAAGCAGCAAAAACCATGAAAACTGTGGCAAACTATGAAAAAACTGTGAACACAATGATAAACTATGAAAAATGTGGCTAGAATAACAGACGACCTGACAATGAAACACAGAAAACAGGAGGTGATCAGGGAAAGTGGGAACACATGGGGAAACAGCAGAAATTAACATAATGACGGGACGCGGGAAGGGAAACTAGATACAATGAGCAAAGAACAAAAGACTCTTTCAAAATAAAACAGGAAACATGGAGACGCAGACATGACAACACAAGAACTAATAACCACAACCTAGCATGAGAAGCTCAAAAATGCAGAATAAACTCAAAAACGCTGGGTCCGAGACCCATATATCTTATATGGGTCTTATCTTACTCTTATAAATTATAAAACCCTTACAAATCTTATCATGCTCAACTCCTGGATTTTGTCAGTCCCTCCATCTCCGAACCATACATCATAGCAGGCCTCTCTATCTTCTTGTAGCTTTCTCTCTTTCAATCCTTCTTTTGGAAATCACCTCTGACACTCTTATGCTTTCTTATTCGCCATTGCTCTCTTTCTCTCTCTCTCATTTGCTGATTTTTCTGTTTTTTTCATTGTTTGTATGTTGAGTATTAAATTTTGATTTTTCCACTATTGTTCTTTCTGGAAAACAATGGAAAGAATACTATATCTAAGACTGGATCAATGATAACCAGTGACTAATAAGGAAGACTTGCCACAGTAATGTGTAAATGAGCCTTGGCAAATGATTGAATGAAATGTGAACACACTACTATGGAGGAGACTCTTATTTCATGTGCCAGTCTGCTCTGTGTATATGCACAATCTTGCATAATGAAGTAAAAATGTAGACGATAGAGTCAAAGGAGCTTGCAAAGAAAAGCGTCTGGACTTCTTTAAGTTGCTTGAAGACGTTTCACCTCTCATCCGAGAAGCTTCTTCAGTTCTAAGGTCAAATGGTGGAGAGTCCCAGATATAAACCTAGTGGGAGTGTCCCCCCACAGAGGGACAAAAGGACCCCCTGATGATCCTCTAATCGCCTGAGCCAAGGTGTGAAACTGGGTGTGGGTCCCAATCATCCAGAGTTTCGGGTGTGTTCATTGTGAAACCTGGCCCCAACTTATCATGCGAATTCCTGAGGTCAGATGGCCCAGGATGTGAGTTGGCGTTAAGGCGTCTGGGAAGGGATCTCAAAACTGGATTATAGATGGCAGAGAGTTGATGTCGTAAACCCCCACCTCTGTTCAAAGATGGTCGCTCACAGGACCCACACCCAGTTTCACACCTTGGCTCAGGCGATTAGAGGATCATCAGGGGGTCCTTTTGTCCCTCTGTGGGGGGACACTCCCACTAGGTTTATATCTGGGACTCTCAAGTCCAGACGCTTTTCTTTGCAAGCTCCTTTGACTACGATGACCTGGATGACTGAGAACCTTCACAGACATGTAGACGATAGACTTATCTACTGTTAAGTGGTTCCTAGTAAAAGTAATAGGTAATCAGTGCACAAATGGTTGAAGTAAATTGATGAATGCTCTCCTTGAGCCCACTGAAGTCTTTTCTTCAGTATTTTGTTCAAGCTGGAAAGATGACAGGAAGTTTTTAACTTATTCGGGAAGAAAGAGAATTGCAACATCTAAAGGAGGAGACATAAAAGAGGTGCAGAGATTAAAGTTTGATTATTTTTTTATCTGGCCCAAAGATAAAATCAGGATGATTTGTGGAGTATTTTTGGTTGAGCTGTACTGTAAATCTGTCTTGCCTACTTTTTTTCTTTACCTTTATGCTTGTTTAGTTGTGGCACTCAGTTAACATTAGCAAGCCATGCCATGTCATCATTTCACTTCATTATGATAGATTTGTAGACCAAGTCACGCTAATCTGGTTGGGTTGTAAATAAACTGTCTGTTTGATATTTAGCAGATATTTTGGAATAACTGAACAAAATCTTTTGACCTTTGTTTTCAAGGTAGAGATTATTAAAATGTATTTTCATTTGTATTATGGCAAATTACTGGCCTTACAGGTAAAGCATACTGAGTTTAGTCGCAGCGGTTTGGCGTTTTAATTTGATGTATGACAGACTGTCACCATTTTAATTATTTTCAGAATTTTTAGTCAAACGTCAGCATGTCGAGAAAATAAAAAAGTGTGCATCCTTCTTTGTGTGTAACACTGACAGAAAGACAGCAAAAGGGAGAAGAATATAAAGAGTTCATTAAGACCTTCACCAAAGCAAATAAATCATTATCCAGGCTTTTTGTCTGTCTTCTGTTCAACAGGCAATAAAACACACATCAGATCCAGCTGATCACTGGCAAATCATCCCTGAGCCTCTTCAAGGCATTATCCTAGGTTTCATGCAGGACACACAACCACACTCGTTCGTACACATTCACAAACCCAACCTCAATGCTCTTCCCACTCGTGTACATTGGCTGCCAGAGCTGTCTTTGTATCCCATCACCATAACAACTGCCTCTCTGAACGTTGTAAAAAGAAAAAAAAAAGGGAAAAGCCAAAGTGAATTTCTCTCAGTTTGACTTGGAGATAGTGAGAGTAGCAGTCGGCAGCTGCTCACAGCATGTCAGTGGTGTCTGTCTACTCGACACGGGCTTGTAGAGGCAAGCGGGTTGCAGATGACTTGGTGAGAAGAGAAAGGAGGTGTGTGATGTGAAATTTTGGAAGGTGTTGTATCGTGTGACTTTCAGAGCGTGGGATAAACAGTATATGATGCTGCACATGGTGAGTGTCAAATGGCTGCTGCTTTTTGTTCTCGTTACTGCATGTGAGTGCTCGTGTTGGTAAGCACGCGTTTAAATTTGTTGCGTTACATGTCTCCATTAAGTTGTGTGAAATGTAATGAGTTTATGAGTCTCGAGGCTTTAGCACATGCAGATATTATGTAATGAGAGAAACTGGAAGACCTTGAGAGAATGGAGTAATGAAAGTTCTCTGTAAATCTCATTTGGGATGCTGCAGATATTTTATAATTACATCCTGGAGATGATATTAGGCAATCATCCATGTTTTTTATTGACAGTTTATGTGTTCAGTATTAAAATTTTGTTTGGTCAATTTCTCTCAATAATTCCTTTTGTCTTCTGTAACTACAGTACATTCTTATTGGTACAATTCTAGGCTTCACTTTTGCATTTTAGATTTATTGTTGCTCTGATTCGTCAGACTATTTTAATCTATTATGAAGTGTTAGCACTGGTGCCTTGCTCACAGCTTCATTTCTCGCTTTATACTCTACAGGCTTGCACTCGTATTGGTAAAGGTGATGAATATTTTTAATCATAAGTCACAAAGGAAATTAAGTGTTTTGCGTGCATGTGTGTGTTTGTGTATTTTAGAGTGGATATGATTTACATGTGAGCTTGTGCTTCTGACTGTGTGCTTGTTTTATGAAAGTGGTTTTAAACATTAATTGTAGAGCCATTGTTGTGTGTGTGTGTGTGTGTGTGTGTGTGTGTGTGTGTGTGTGTGTGTGTGTGTGTGTGTGTTATAACCATTACATCTGAACTCAAAATATGACGTTAGCCTCAGGATCTCATTTTCTTGCCGCTAATCTCCAAAGGAAAACTCTCCCTTTCAGTGCTGTTTTGCAGCTCTGTCCATTTCTTTTTTTGGTCTGTCCTATAATAGTTTATATACCGTATCTTCTGAACATGTTCCATTAGCTTGCCATGACTGAACAGAAATAAAACCTTCAAACACAGAAGGAGAGTAAGCAATGACTTCAGCTTTCATCTCTGGACTGCATTATTAAACATCCCCATCCACAGGAGTCTGACATCATCCAATCACAGCTGTTTCTTCCTCCTCTTCCCCTACTCCCCGTTCCCTTGTCTCCCTCCATTAGGCAAACCTGAAGAAATTCATGGAGTATGTGCAGCAGAGGAACATTGAAAAGGTCTCAAGGTTCCTGGAAAAAGGCCTGGACCCTAACTTCCATGATCCAGACACAGGAGGTGAGCAAGTCTGCTAAGATTTCCATCCCTGCCATACTTGAGTTTACTTATTGTTGATGATTGTTTTTCTCCATCCTTGATTTGTCATTTCTCTCCTTCTGTCTTCATCACAAATGACCATATATGGATTTTCTGAAATAAGCCTTCTGCATAGCGGGTAAAGCTGGATTACTCTCTTTGCTAATCTCCTCGTGTATATGCAAATGTTTGTCCAGTCATAAAGGAGATTTCAATGCTGGGTGACCTGTAGTGTAGCAGATGAGCTGCGAAGTGAGGGAAACATGAGAATAGGCTGATTTAACACCAACTGGAAGCAGCCAGCAGACAGGAGGGTGACAATCTCGACTGAAAAAGGCAGTGATCCAACTGCAGAGTCATTGAAAATGTAAAGCCACAGACAATTTTGTCCCAAAAAAAATGCAGCAATTCAAGTGGTGGATGTTTTGGGGGAAGAATGCACAATAATGTCAGTGGAAATAAGCTGAGTTTTCAAAAGTGTTCTTTGCTTCCTTGTGCTTGCAGAATGTCCTCTAACGCTAGCAGCACAGCTGGAGAGCTGTGCAGAGCTCATCAAGGTGCTGAAAAGTGGAGGGGCACATCTGGACTTCAGAACAAAAGATGGGATTACTGCTCTGCACAAGGCCGTGCGCAGCAAAAACCATACAGCACTTATAGTGAGCACATTTCACACGTATATACAGTTCAGCCGGCTCAACCACATTCATGCAAACTCCCCGTCTAGAAAAGGAGAATGTATGGGCAGGTAATGTCTGGCAGCAGGTGCTTGAGCTATCGAGCACAGAGGGCACTTACTAAATGTGTGAGATTGAACTTTGAATATGCTGACATAATCACTGAATCACTGAATGGCCTTGCATGTGTCTGGTTTGAGGAGGCTTGTAACCCAAATGAAATGGGTTGTGTGAGTCATGTTTCCTGTTGAAACTGAACTGTTGAAACTGGAATGAGTTATTTCCACTTTTGATACCACAGTTATGGTATTGAATGATCCTAAAGATCCAATAGGAGAGAGTTACAAATTGCAGTAGCTACAGCCTAAAAAGTACTGCCAGCTTTTTCCTGAGCCTCTCAACAAGCCTTGATTGGATGATGTCAGCTTTCTACTGGCTTTCTATTATAAGCCTACAGTAGCTCTTTAACATAAACAGGTGCCTGAACATGCAAGGTTCAGCATTTGAACACACAAGAATTATAAATTTAATGTTAAACAGTATAAAGAACTGGCAGCCTGTCCAGTGTGTGCCTGATCTCTCAGCCTATGACAGCTTCATGCTATCAGCTTATGACAGCATGAATGGATGGATGGATGGAATTAAGTGAGACCTTTAGGGTGACAGAATTCAAGAATTGGAAGGAAAATAAGTGGGAGGAAAGGAGGATGCTGATTAGGGCTGCCACGATTAATCGACTAGTCACGATTACGTCAATTATCAAAATCGTCGAGGACTGATTTAATAGTCGACGCGTCGTTTGAAGCTTTGTAAGATCCCAAAAGACGCAGGAATAAGTAGTAGGATTTAAGAGTGTAATAACGGACTGAAACAGAAGATGGCAGCACTGCATGTACAAGGATGCCAGTTGCCGTTAAAC